ATCGCCAGGAGTCACCTTCAAGAGCCACGCAGCCCTCATCGCCATTACGAAAACATAAGCCTCGTAATCTTCAATATTCACAAGATGGAGTCGTTTCTCCGGAGGCTTCGCCTATGCTCCCTAGTAGTGAATTTAGCTCACCGGCCATATTTACGCATCACCGTCGACAATCTTCAACAGCTATGTCGGACTTTCCAAATCGACCCACGTCTCCCCGTTTAAACCCTGTCAACCATCCACCGATGGCACGTGCAGTCCCCCCTTCAATCAAAGACTTCGAGATTATCAAACCGATTAGCAAGGGTGCCTTTGGTAGTGTCTACCTGTCAAAGAAGAAGTCCACGGGTGAATATTTCGCAATTAAGGTCTTGAAAAAGGCGGACATGGTGGCTAAAAATCAAGTCACAAATGTTAAAGCCGAAAGGGCTATTATGATGTGGCAAGGGGAGAGCGAATTCGTTGCAAAGCTGTATTGGACGTTCTCTAGCAAGGACTACTTGTATCTTGTCATGGAATATCTGAATGGAGGAGATTGTGCTTCCCTCATTAAAGTCCTCGGGGGACTACCAGAGGAGTGGGTAAAGAAATATCTCGGTGAAGTTATTCTCGGTGTAGAGCATCTACATGATCGAGGCATAATCCATCGTGATCTAAAACCCGATAATCTACTCATCGATCAAAAAGGCCACCTCAAATTGACTGATTTTGGTCTATCGCGCATGGGATTGATCGGTCGCCAGAAGAGAGCTCTAAATAGTGGAAACGCTGAGCCTACACCCGATTTACTTAAGACGGGGCCTTTTGTCAGGTCAACATCTGTGGCATCGTCTCGGTCAGCTTCACTTGACTTCCATGGTAGTCACCATTCTCCCGCTGCCACGCCACAGATAACCCCGGATACTGGAGTTGGGCAACCGTCTTATTTTACCCTTTCACAAATTCATCCATCTGGCCAGCGTAGCGACAGCGGTGGTAGCGAAACGTTGGCGCATATGATGGGGAATTTCTCTTTAGGTGACCCTCAACATAGCCAAACTAGTTTACGGTCTCCGCGCGATGATGTGAGTGACGGCGGTAATGCTTCTCCTGATTTACAGTCGCTTCAACACACCAACAGCCATAATAGCGACATACATAGGAATACACCGCCTCAGTCAAGCATGATGCCTCCTCCAATGGCTCTATTCGATCCCGAGGACACAAATCGACGGTTCGTAGGAACTCCCGATTACCTCGCCCCCGAAACCATTAAAGGTGCTAGACAGGACGAGACGAGTGATTGGTGGTCAGTCGGCTGCATTATGTTTGAGTTCCTCTATGGTTACCCCCCATTTCACGCCGATGAGGCGGAACAGGTTTTCGAGAACATACTCGGGCGAAAAATTATGTGGCCAGATGAGTCAGACGATGAGGTATCGTCCGAGGCAAAAGACCTTATTAACAAATTGCTTTGTATCGACCCGCAGCAGAGGCTAGGTTCGAATCGTGAGGGAAAATATGAGTCTGGCGGAGAAGAGATTAGAAGCCACCCCTGGTTCGAAGGTATCAATTGGGCTACTCTGCTACAGGACGATGCCCAGTTTATTCCTCAACCTGAGAACCCCGAGGACACAGAGTATTTTGATGCTCGAGGTGCCACTCTGCAGTCTTTTACCGAAGAGATCGAAGATCAAGCTTCGCTTCCATCAGTCGCGACACCGGATTATCCTGATCGCCCGCACGATGCTTTATCGCGTGTCCGGTCCCAAGTCCAGGTCAACCAGATCAAACGAGGCTTGATGCCATTACACATACCTCCCCACATCCGAGATCTAAAGAGTCGTCGACTTAGTGAGCCGGTGGCTTCGGATGACTTTGGAACATTTGCTTTCAAGAATCTTACAGTGCTTGACAAAGCCAACAAAGATGTTATCCAGCAGCTGAAAGCTCAGGCGATGGCGGCACAGAACAGATCCGGAACGAGCCCAGGTGGGAATAATCCCACTTCCCCAGGTCCCGGGCTCGAAGGAAGCCCGATCTTATCCAACCCAATACAACGCAACTTGTCCAATGCTAAGGCGTCGGCATCACAGCGCCCGGCATCGCCTTCCACGGCTAGTCTCGCTAATTCATCTCCTAGCCGTGCTTCTCAGCCGTCTTCGCCACTCCTCGTCTCCTTCCATGCAGGTCAAGGAGCAGAGGGTCGCAGGAAGGCCTCGAGCAATTCTTCAAGTCTGTCGCAACAATCTGGCTCTGGATCGTTGCAGCCTGGGAGCTTCTTTGATGTCCCCCGTACTACCCCTAGCCTTCAAAAATCAGCAACAGCAGCTTCTCCGTCCTCCGCGAAGGGTAAAGTTGCACCGCCTCCGTTGCCGTTGCCGTTGCCGTTATCGCCGCATAAAACAGTAGGGACTCCAAGACAGCCAAGCGAATCCTCGACACGATCGCGATCCCTGACCGTAGGCTCTCAAGAAGGTAGCCCCGTAGCTGCTGATCTTCTTGCACACCATCGCAATCGTCGAAGCCAGGTTTTTGACATGTCTCCTTCGTCATCGGACAACGAAAACGAACGGGCGAGTGCTCTTCTTAAAGTGCAACGACGTCGCCAGTCCTCTCGCAGGATGTCGGCTATTGTGCTTGATAGTCCGTCATTCCGCTCTTTAGACGTTCTAATTTGCGAAGACCACCCAGTTTCGCGCATGGTAATGGAGAAGTTGCTCGAGAAGCTGCGGTGTCGTACCATCTCCGCCTCGACCGGCTCAGATGCAGTTCGATACGCGGTTAGCGAAATCAAGTTTGATATCATATTTACCGAGTTTAAACTACCCGAAATAAGCGGTTCGGACGTTGCCCGAATGGTGCGCGAAGTCAAGAACGTCAACGCCCATACGCCTATTGTTGCAATCACAGCCTACTTGAAGGAGTTACAAGCTCCTCATTATTTTGACTCGCTCATTGAGAAACCTATTAGCTCTTCTAAGCTAATCGAAGTTCTTTCCAACCTTTGCCAATGGAAACCGCCGACACCAGGTCAAGTCCAGTCACTACCGATTCCAAACCCTATCACTAGTGTGAGACTGAAAACTCCACACATGGAAGACAGTCCCACCTCGGTATCATCCGGATATGCTCACCCAGGTAGTAGTAGCTTCAGGGGATCGAGCAGGGAAGATTCTATTAGTTCCAGTTTATTCGGGGACTCTGAATCTGCGACTACCGATGAAATACCCGTGGTCCCTGGTCGCAAAGGTATGGGCGAGTGGGGAGAAGAGTCCGGGCTTGGTATTAGCAACGAGGAGACACCTGGGAGTTCCGGAGGAGTCTCGAAAATGCCGATCCCACTCATTTCTCAACAGTCAGCCCCAGCCCAGATGGAGCAGCCTAGAATGCCAGCTCCCCGGCGATCTCTAGAGAAGCTTCGTTCAAGGCGTGAACATCTCGAGAAGCGGCGTGGAGAAGGTAACGACTCGGCAGATGACGAAGACGACGAGCTTGGCACGCATCGAGACCGTGGGTTCCGTGGCAAGCAGCCAACTCCTAGCTCGAAGCTCGGGATTGAAATGATGAGGGCAAATAGCCACGACAGTGTTGCTATCTCATCATCCGACACTACCCCAGAACCTACGACTCAGGTGGTCACCCCTTCGAGGGAGAGTGATGTCTCGCCATTTTCAGGTGCTGTATCGTCATCTAGGGCCCCCTTGCAGACGCCGCCGGAAGTTTCTTTAACGCTCGATCAAAGTACCGCCGGCCAAGGTCCTGACACAACACCAAAATCAACAACGGCGACTATCGCAGAAGACGAGGAAGCAGCGGAAGAGCCGACGCCACGGCCACATGCGAGGCCTTCTGAGACTTAGGCATTATTCTAACGGATCGAATGTGAAAACTCACATTCGACATTGCTTGCGTATGTCACATCGCCACACAACAATCGTTTCTATAAATGAAGTCCACAGCAACGGCGTTTTTTTCGGGTTTGGAACACGCATTTTCTCTCAAATATTTTCTTCCTTTTGTGTTCAAAGTGTGGACTTGTTAGCAACGGAGTTATTAGGCACACGGGATTTTTGTCGTTTCCGATGGTGGCCTATTTTTTCGAAAAAAGAAAAAGACGCCCCGGACGGACAGATAGTCAGAAACAGGGCCGGGTTTGTCATTGTTGCATTTACACACCACTTGTTTTGGGGGAGGGTTTTTTCTTCTTCGTCGTCGTCTCGCATCAATGTCGTCGTGTTGTGTTACCATGTCTGATTCTCACCCGTGCAAAATCGGTGTTTGGAATTCATGTTGCGCAATCTCGGCAGAATCAATTTCACTCCGTTCCTTTTTTGATCGACCGCCTTTCGTCGTGTCTGTTTGCTGACTGTCTGGTATCCTTGTCCCGTATAACCAACCAACTGCCCAACCGGCGTATTGCGGAGAGGAGAGCAGCTCGGCAGCTGAGAGAAGGATGAAATATGACACGGGTTGTTTTCTCCTTTTTCTTTTCTTTTTCTTTTTTTTTTTCAACTTTGTTGTTACAAAGCCCATGTGTCTACCTAGGCAAGTTTTACGATCTTCAAGGGGAAGGGGAGTATTCGGATAGCCTATTAGGCTTTTACGTTTTCCGAGTTCCGGGGCAGAACCCAGAAAAGAAAAAAAAAGAAAAAAGGAAAAAAAAAGGCTGATACGAAACGAATATAAAAGTTCGTAGAATGGATGTTTTAACGACTTTCTGGAGATGTGATGTACGTGTAAGTTTTTGCATAAGTCTTGTGAGGTTCCTAGCCGGGATTCCTGTGTATTCTGTATTCTACTAGAGATGATAGGATGATGGGTAATTGTTTATGCAGAGGCAAGTATCGAGGTGAGATAGTTATGTTTGTAATGCGTGATCATATCGTCGTTCTATCCCCTATAACATGTAGGCGTAGGTAGACTCAGCATGTGCTATGCTGTGTTGTGCTGTGTTGTGCTGAGATGAAGTTGCATTCTTACTCCTTCTCCCCGGTTACGACTTAAGACTGAGCTGATATAACGTCAGATCGGCAGACTGTAGTCTTCAGAAAGCCTAATTAATAGTCGCATTCCCAGGGCAGTCTTCTACTAGCAAGAAGCCATAATCACTAATACTTGACACCCTCGGAAGCACTATATTCATTGCATTCATATTTACTCTAGGTTCGGATTCCTCATCCTCTCTCCACTTGAGGAGTTTCTCATGTACACGTGATGAAATAAAATAAACAAAATAAACAAAATAAAATACAACGCTCCTTGATGACCCTCATTCTCTCGTTTCGTATTCTCGTCTCGTCTCGTCTCGTCTCGTCTCGTCTCATGTCTTATAAATCCCGGGCTCGGAGTAATCGCGGGTTCCCTACACCTATTCTAGCAGTGTAGGATGCCAGGGAAACAAGACTTCTCTTCGATGGACACTATCGAAGAAACAGATGCCGTTGAGCCATCGCTTGATATATAGCTTCGGTATCATGCAGGGTGAACGTCCCTCGGGTCTGTCGCGCCTCTGCCACTCGATGTCGACCTCTAGAGATACGTGTTTTTCGGTATACCCCGGCTTGTCTTCTTCATGGAACTGGGATGAAGTAAAGGCGTAGCTGATGTCGTTCTCGTTCTTCCAATCATCGCGACTGTCGCCTACGAAGACAGCACGGTAGGGACTGTATCCTCTTCCATTTCTAGGGTCTACGAGACAGCCTAGTCGAAGAGCCTTTCCTTGCATCAGGGCATCCTCGACCTCGTCAGCCATACAGTCAAGCCACCACCCCCCGCGGTATAGAGAGCGGCCGCGGTCGCGGTCGCGTGCGCATTCAACCAGATCGACTGCGATATCCTCGTAAGAGGTGCCGTATTCTCTATATTGCAACTCAGTAGCAAATTTTGCAAGGGGTTTCAGCGTATTGTACTTCTCACACTTCATTGGTTTCCGGCGTATGACTTTGCCTAATTTCCAGAGGTGACCTGTGGTCAGTGCTCCCTCTGGAGTCAGCAGTGGATTGGTAAAGCGACAGCCTTTGATAAATGTAAGACCTTGCTTGACTGGGGGACGAAAGCTACTGAGCGATTGTTCAGATAGGTATTCGTGGATGTTGTGTTTAAGTATACCTAGGGCGGGTCGTTCCGGGTCGTTCTCTATGATTTCGCCATTTAGAAGATATTGGGCCAGGATCGATAGGCTGAGACTAGAGCCTTTCTCATTGAGAAAGTTTGTGTTGATACGAGTGCCATAATCGCAACAGTTGGCCATGATGGCAAGGCGGTCGGATTCCTTCCCAATGCCCCGCCAAATTATGTCCGAGAGGATTATGGGGGACATCGACCGCGTTGCCGAGTACGCCGAGTGCTTGTCTTTGAGGAGAACGTTGTACTTTGTAGCCCTCTTAATGACCCTGTTACAGATATCCACCTTATCTGATCTCTCCTGATATGAGAGGCAGAACTCCGTAGCCCGTTCCCTAAAGTGCATAGATTTTATACAAATCTCGCCTTCGACATCGCCAAGAATATACCCACCATACTCATCTACCATGGCTCGTTTACACGTATCTAAACTCCGACAGTGTGGAAGAAGCAACATCATTCGGGTAGAAGCTCTATAGTCTTCCTGGAACGTCCAGGCTCTCGTCCACCACAGGTCAGATGTAATGTCATCCAGAAGATTTAACATGGCTGGTTCATCTTCGGATGCAATTTTATTACGCATTAGATTGGCAAGGAGCTTGAGCTCTTCCGGGGTCTTAATCCTACGCGTGAGGAGGGCAATTGGCCAGTGGCTTAACGTATACACTAGGTGCATGCTTTGGATTGCTGCTTCCTTCGCCGCCTGGTTCTCCTGGTCGATGCACTCCTGGTCGATCCAGATATTTTCGCAGCCCACACGCTCAGCGTACTTTAGTACTCGATCCAGAACCACGGGCCTCACCTTAGCTAGGGCAGGCTGGCCGGGCTTGTGAGGCTCGACAAGATAGCGCCCTGCCGTTTCTTTGTTTGTCTCCTCGTCTGCCTCTTCTTCCTTTGAAGCCTTCCAAGTGTATGAGACAGCGATATAAGGTATGTCTTCAGTGTAACATTCCCTTTGAAAAAGACCAATAGACCTTCTCCTCAGAAGCTGCGAGGAGTCGGCGGCTACACTGCCATTTTCTACGCGTCTCCGCTTGCCGCTAGGCTCCTCGCTGTCCTTGGCCACATAAAGGCATTCGACATAGTTGAGCCAGTTCTCCTTGCTGACGGTGCGGCCATTGACGATTTCAAGCACCGAGGAGATGAGAGAAGACGAGGTTTGATCTCGAATTAGCTCGAGAGGTAGCTTAGTATCATTTGCGACACCATTCTTCTTAGACATACTCGGTGTCTATCCTTAACTGGCCAATTGATTCACGAATTCTAGATCGGTGATATTGGAGAGAGAGAGGGTTAGCGCATATACATAGTAGTAAGTATTAAAATAAGTATTAAGAAGGAAAGGGAGCAGTAAAAGAATTCTGGGGTTTTTGGAAATCTGGAGTTCGGCTGTTTGAAACGAAAAAGAGGTGAAATACTCGGGGTTCCGAGTGGAGCCTGCATTAGCTCAAACGGGGCTGGTTGGTTCCTGCCGCCCTATCGCCTAATAAATTCGGCAATTATATGCTATTTATAGCGCCATTATGTGCTGTGTTCCAGCTCGTCACAATTGTTACGACGTGTTATCGATTCGGGTACTTCATCACGCGATTCACTAATTAAACTTGTAGACGTGATACAATCTATGTCCACTTATCCCAACCCATCAGTCTCTCAGCTCGGATCCGCTTAACCAGGTACGAGCAAAGGGAGATTGTCGGGGGATAAAGGGATGAAATTCTTCAAGAGATGAGTGCTTCTCAAACAAACCACGAAATGAATTAAGACACTACGGTTACATATATGACCTCTCGAGCACCCATACAAATAGGGGTTAAGGTGCCATCACTTTACATCAAATTCCTGTTCATGTACTAGCAACTAGTAGGAAATTATAAAACAATGAAATACATTTAATAGCTTTTAATATAAGTTGATTTCCATGAAAAATAAATAAATAACTATTCCTATACACACTTCTCAGCCTTCAACATTGCGCTCTAGCAGTTAAAAGCCGTACCATAATGCGGTATTCCGTAAAGTGATAGAACTTAACTCTACCTACCTACTCAAGGAATAAGTGTACTTCAGAAACGGAATACCCAGCTTATTTTTTATAGATATAAAACCGTATATATAAAGAGCACGCTGAAATCTGTATGTCATCAATGATCTATCCACGTAGGTACTTAGCCAACCCAAATTCAAATAAAAGGGGTTCACAAGCCAAAAAAGAACGAATAAAGCCGTTCCATAATTCCACCAACTGAAATCATAATATGTCGCTATTCATTGTCCATGCTTGGTCTCATGTCTATCTATAACTCGCTTCCGAAGGGCAGACACCTAATAACCCAGTCCGCCTCAACCTAACAACCACAACCAACTCCCGCGCCAGCATGACGAAAAGTCCGCTGGTCGCTCGCTAGGGAGATACCTACCTTCTAACTCTCGTAACCAACCAACCAACCAACCCACGATCTAAACCTCACCTACGGCAATCACCACCAGTCGGGAATAATAACCGCCCTCAAAAAATAATACCCTTTAGCAACCCTGCCAAGGCGAGCGCACATCCCCTCGTCGTCCCTATCCTCCCGCTCCCCAAATGGGTATTTCCAGCACAGTTCCCCCACACCATTCCAACCAAAAGCACAACGCAGCGCATGCTTCTTCCCGGTTAGAACACGCTATAAACCTCCCGGGCCAAAGCTCTTCCCCCCATCCGACGTATCCTCACCACTACCCTCTCCCGAGCCGGCAATCAACTCCGTCATATCACGCATGCGATAATCCAGAATCGGCGTGATCCAGTCGTCATGCACAAGCGCGTACGTCTCCTGAGCGTTGTCTTTCGGCTTGCGCGGGTTGATGGCCCAGTACCCGAAGTCGGCATCGATGCGCTTGAGGTACCGTAGCAGGTTGCGCCAGTAATTTGCGTCGCCGGCGCCGGGATGGTGCGGCGCGCCGAACTCGCCCACCCAGACGGGCGCCAGGTCGTCTTCGACTAGGTATCCCCAGTTCTGACGCATCGCCTGGATGAAGGATGCGTAGCTGCGTTTCGCGTACCGGCCCTCTCGGCTACCCCACCCGGACCACGCGTACACGTGTGCCGAGTACACAACTCGGTCCGCCACGTCGAGTTTGATCGGCCGCTCGCGTGCCCTCGTCAGGTCGTTCCCGGACTCGGTCCCGCCGACGACAATCAGCCAGTCGCTGTTCATCTTAAGGAGCCTGTTCCCGCATTTCTCGGCAGCGTCCGCCCAGCGGTTCCACGACATGGTGCCCCAGACGCCGCGGACCTCGTTCCTGAGGTCGGCGCCAATAACTCTCGGGTTGTTCACAAATGGCTGCATGATTGTCTCCCAATGTTGTATCCACTCCTCCTCGGTCTGTGAGACTTTGCACAAGGGGCCGAATTGATCGTTGGCCCAGCCGGCGTCGCACGGATCGGCGCCGCAGCACCACGTCGCACTTGTGATATGATTGTTGAGGATGACAGCGATGCCGGCATCGGTCAATGCCTCAACGACGGCTTGAAGTATATCGAGAGCGCGTAGACCTACGAGGTCAGGATTGGCGGTGAGAAGATGGGGGAGGATATGTGGATTGCGGATGACCATCTCGTCCGAGTAAGGTAAGCGTACGCTGTTGAATCCCAGCATGCGGATAGTCTCAGCGATAATAGAGCGATGTTGTACTTCGAGTCCGCCGGGGATGAAGAGCTCATCGCTCGCTCCGTACCAATTGACGCTGGCGAGTTTGTAGCGACGGCCGGTAGCATCGACGATATTCCGGCCCTGAGTCCGTAGAGGAAAGGTATAGGTTGCTATACTAGACGATTCCTTAAACGGGGGAAGAGGTCGCTGGCTAAAGAGTCGGTCGCCTATGTCTGGAACCCATGGTTCTTGAAGGGCTGCCTCGGCTTTCCACAGATAATGGACGTAACCACCGAGAAAGAGGAATGTGAAGAGGAGGACGTGATACATTTTGATATATATGTATACCTATATCTCTCTCCAAGAAGATCGGGGGTAACAATAGAATCGGGGATTGAGTTAGGCGGGATAAGGAGGGTGCTATTCTAAATATAATCAATGTCCAGTATTCCGAAACAAGACACGACAATTAAGATAGATAATGATGGTATTGAGCCCATTGTAACATGTGGGTTTTGATCTACAAGGATAAAATAATTAAATGGAAAGAGAAGTAGAGACTAATGTCTGCGAGGGCGAGAAAGAAGATCTTATCGGGTTGAGTTAAAGCATTGAAGAATTGGTAGCCAGTCCTTCCGTCACGGAGTGACGTTGGCGGGTTTAACAGGGTACGTACCCCACTATTGCATTACCTATTGTATGGACAATACCTACCCCTGGCCAGACAGTTCATCCAGACAAGCCTTACATTACATAATCCGTCCAACTCCTGACGTACTACCTAGGTAGGTACATACCTACTTTACATATGTAGGTAAGTACATACATGTAGGCACATTATGTGTATGCAACTGCAGCCCTATCGTTCTCGGACCAGTGCAGGTGCTTCTAATCAAGGTGACATAAATTAAAAACATAAATGCCCAGACTTTGGGAAATAAATATTAGCATCTCTCAGTTTTATTATGCAATGAATGAAGTTAAAGTTAACATAGGCATTATGGGTGTAATACGTAAAGTACAGCCCGACTGATTTATATAAGCTCACCCAGCACCATTTTATATCATTTTATATCCATCATCAATAACATCAAACAGCTTCGGAATATAATTCATTGAGCGAGGGATATTTTAAGTTGGAGCAAGAAAGTAAAAGTCAAACTGAGGCGAGTAGCCCATTTTATTCATTTAGACTAATATAGGCCAACCTATCCGAAGCCAACAAGCTAAGTGCCCTTAGAAACGAAACTGTTGTCGCTGCGTAGCTTCGTCTCTCGGTCGGCTTTCATGATGCTTCATTCTAGGCATCAGAGGCAAGACATGAAACATGCCCGCCAGCCGGCTTGCCGCCATCTCTCCTCCCCTGAACTTGGTGTCCACATTATGAGTACTTATTTTTTAGTTATACCATTTTGCCTCGCTGCTTTTTCCTCGAGACACCCCTCTCTTCTGGGGTATTTATATCCCTAGATTTTCCGATGCCCCCTGCCTATCCTTTGCAGTCGATCACGCCTTTAGGGCAAAGAGTGATTTTAGCGATACAAAATCCGTCAAATCCCGAGACGCCGCGCTTTAAGCATCAAAACACTATGTCCAAGGCACTACGCCGTTTTGATACGGTAACATCAAAAGAAAACATTTACATGATAGCTGTTACGCAGCGAGTCTGCGTGAATAAAATGCGTTTGCTTAGATGAAAACATGATCGCGATTATAATCGGATGCTCCAGGCTGGGTATATTGAGATCTCGGAGCTGGGTATCGTTCTTCTTCGTCTCTCTGTATTCTGTTCATCCCTAGTGGGTTCATGTTTTCATATTCGTTCGATTGCGCAGGCATTGATGGTAATGGATACGAGTCATGGTACTCCTGTGTCGATTCCCACTGTACTTGTTGCGGCGGCCTTGGTGAAGAGAACGATCGCTGGTGTGGCTGGTATCGTGCCGTTTGTCCGAAGTAATCCGGCGTCTGGCGCCCGCCTCGCGAGGTCGGCGACATTGCCGGGCTAATTGGCGTCAGCATGGTGTCTGTCTTTCCGGAATCGCGAGACAACATTTCATAAGACCGGGGGTCCTGCTTAATATCCATCCGAGCATCAACAGATACAAATTCTTTCTTGGTACGTGTACCAGTGTATGATCCGAGTATGTCGAGCCAGCCAGTAACCATTGACCAGCGGCCGAGGAGTAAGAGCAGCCAAATTCCATTCATCTATAACTATTATTAGCCTCATCTACAATCACTAATTCTCTACGATGGCCACTTACCGCTAGAAGTATTAGGACCGCTATGACAGTCGGAAGACTGACTACTAACTCATTTGCTAAATATAAGCATTTATTCTTATCACCACCGGATTGGATTAGACAGGCCGCCCAAGACAACGCCTTGTCAGGATGAGTCTTGATTGATTCCACAGTATTATCTATGAAGACAAAGACAACGGCGAAGAAGATGACATCTGCGATGATAATGAGCACGATGACAATGCCACGCCATTGAAGTTGGATAACGCGGCGTATTCTTCGGTATGCCTGACGAGGAGTCATAGTGCGGATGCTGTTTGAGTAAGAGGGCATGCCAGAGTTTTCGGTTGTGGTGCTATTGTCAGTCAGGGATGCGAGGTAGACCTTAATGCAGTATCCGAAGGTGGCGAATTGAATGATAACGGTGAGGCCCGCAAATACCAGCAGCGGAATCCAGAAATCGGCCAAACTGTTTTCGTGGTTGATATGGCACGTAGCTCCAAAGCGGAACGAAACTCCGCTGAAGACAAGGAGGATAACGAGGCCGATGATTGGTATGCCCCAACCAAGCACTTGAGAAAACCACATATAATTTCGACCCACGACTAATTGCCAGCAGATCTGAAGATGCAGGGAAAGCGCTCGTAGGAAAACCCACATGATACCAGCCCAGCCACCGGCTAGCAAAAAG